ACCTCCGCTGCATAATTCTAGCTAGCTTGGTTACCATCCTATTATAGCTCCCGAGTCCTACATCCTCTATTTGCGGAGAGGCTGTAGGACTCGGAAGCTTATAATAGGTTTGGTAACCAGGCTAGCATAACTCGCGTCGCTGACGGTGAAAGAATTAACGCCGCCGCCCTAAAGGTCTGCGAAGGAGGCTAGTTCAGGGAAGACTTTATTTGAAGTCGGAACCCGACGCTACACACCTCCCCGGGTAGCTGTAATGTTACTCTTAATAAGACTCTTTCTTAGGCCGAAACCAGGGTCTGCTTCTCATTTCATACAGGTAACATTTCTACTGCACATACATGTACATGTACATGTAGGCACTTATCAGTGGAAATCATGTGGTTGGGGTGTGTTTCTGGTCATTCTTTTAACGTAGGAAGTTGAATCAACACTATATCAGATACTAGTATCTTTGAGGCAAAAATGCGATGTGGCTGACGAAGAACAGTTGCTTGTTTTGTACGACTGGTTCTAGCTATTTATAAAATATAAGGACTCCTCGTATAGCTCGTTTTTGCTTTAAGTATGAAATGATGACGAAACTGTGCTACAAAATGGCTGTAAATGTCAAATATCAGACAGGTTTCTTCATCCAGAATATTCTTTGCTCAAGTTAACGCCCTAAAATCGCATTGGATGCCTATTATGTACGGTGTATGTAGTAACCATTCGTCCTACCCGTAACAAGTGGACAATAATGATAAACTTGAGACATTGACTGATACCATCCTAATAAAGCTTACCCATACAGAACGGTAATCCATCAGTGGTCGCGTACCCGTTTGAAATCCACCGTCAGGCCGAGATTACAAACTCCAAACGCGGAGCGACCTTGTACCAGACATGATAGATAGATAGGATATGGCTATTACTCTGCAAGCAGAGGCTTGGGTTTTGGTGTATTTTTGGCGTGTTTTTAGGCTTTTTTTATCCGGATGTCTTTTTTTTGCACTGGATTTTTTTACGCCAAGCCAAAAAAATTC